AACGCTCTTAACACGCGCAAGAGTCAGATATATGCTAGGATTAAATCTTTTAGTTTTCCTTCCAGTTCAAAGAGCCACCATACTTCATCACCATTTCCTTCTATCGTAGAGGAAAATTCGTCACACGGTTTAAGGATTGTCATCAGTCTCCACAGATATTCAAAGAGATCATTCTCATGCTGGACATCTGTTGGTTTTCTGGAAACTTCTAGCACTTTTCTAGCCCAGCACTGTCATTCATACACTTGTTTATTCAGCTGCACGTAGTCTTCGGCTCAAAAACACATCACAGAATTCATTTCCCATTTGAGGAAATTTATCAGATTTTCTAACGACTGTCAACACCAAACTTTCAGGAGTGGACAAACACGTGAACTAAAGAAAAGTGTGACGTGTGGCATTTCGCAATTGCAAGCAGGACTCAGAACAGAAGGTAAAAACTAGGGTGCAAGTTCGCGACATTTGCAGCTGCAGACTAGAATTCAAGAGCCTATTAGACATCTAAAAGTCAACATCATAACATCTAAAAGTCATCATCAGTAAGTAATTAATATGTTTCTTGAACAGACAAATATCTTGTGATCTTTATTTTGAGATATCGATACAAATAATAAAGAAAGAAACACTCAGCAGATGGCTCACCTCTAGGACAAACTGATCGGAGTTGTTTATTAATAATCACTGCACAAGAGGCGTCTATCCCATTGAAGCAACAGGTCAGAAAAGCCGCTACTTTATAAAAATTATGTTGTAGGTAATACTAAAGTGATGTAATAGGGAACGCATTGTTGGTGATGAAATTAACCAACATAACAATGCATAACTAAAATTTAAACTTCTGTGATTATTTCATCTCCCAGATACGTCAAACTGACTTATTATGAACAATCTTTGGCAGAGGAGGAAACTATTATACAGTGTGAAGTTTTTAAAACACTTTTCAGTGTCGTTATTACCTGCTCGTGACACGTTCGTCAGTTTTGCTTGTAGCATTACTTTCTTTTATCATATTCCTATGCCATGAAATATAAAACATGTTCAACTTCAAACTTCATAGTGGAATGCATGGTATCTGGTGACACGGGAATATCACGCTGCTCGAGACGCATTCCAGTTACCAATCTATAGCCGCAAATATACTACCTACCAACAAGTATTTGGACACCCATGTAAATGCCGATATATTCGGTCCTGATATATGTCAAGCCCTCCACCATTAAATATCGTGTAGGAAACAAAATTAGCATTAGTGACTTGCAATACGCCGCGAAGTGCAGGGTTATCTGATTTCGAGAAAGGTATAATCGTTGGGTATCATAAAAATGGAAGATCCTTAAGGACATATCTAGTGAGCTGAATTATCCAAATTCGACAATGGCCTATATTACTCAGAAGTGAAACGTGAGCGGTGATTATCGGACTGTGCTTCGAGTCGGCATACCCGATAAACTGGGAGATAAGGACAGAAGGGTGCTGTCCAGAGAAATTCTAAAGAACTCCACCCAACCGACAAACTCTTGCCCACATACTCCAGGAGATTTAAAGTGTTTTTCCGATGAATACAATCCGTAGGAGAGCACGTCTGCTTATTTTCAAGGCCTAATGATGCAGATAAACCTTTGAACAAGTCCAACTGCCCTATTCAGTTAATGTAACCGACCCCTACTGAACTATTTTGGATGATAGTGTGCTTCCTATGTTGTGGCTGTTTTACGGGTTGGACCGATGTTACTTTCAGGACGACATCGCCAGCTGTCATGTTACGAAGTCCACCATGGATTGGTATAATGAAATTGTGGTTAACTAAATGGATTGACCTGCCTAAAGCTTCGAACGCTATTGAAAATCTGTAGTACGAGTTGGATCGCGAAATTAAGGAGTGTAACAACAGTTCAATATAGGTGAAGGAAATAACATGTCTTCTCCAAGCTGAGCGGAAGAAAATTTCCAATAGCTCTCAGACACGGACTTGCGGAAAGCATTCCGGGGAGGGTTGAGTGTGTAATTGCTGCTCGTAAAAGCTCTTTCAGCTCTTAAATTTGAATAAATTTTATTTTTCTTTTCTATCACAGGTTTTATTGGTTCGAGCACGTACAATACTCTCAATGGACAATACTAGAGGCTGTTGGCGATTGCGAAATACCACACACCGCATCTGTTATTTTTTTCATACTGAAAGCATCGTGAGATCCACTAGCTGTCCTTGTTGAGCGTCGGTTAAATTACACTTCTATACACAAACTTCACACAGAGAGTAATGTGTGATATGAAGATTTTCTGGAACAATGACGTAACACACAATGAGTCTAATTTTTATGTATCCCAAAACAATTTTTTTATTCTCATTTCTCTTTCCAAGTTTAGAATTTAATTAGAAAATAGCCTTCTTAGTTAAAGCAGAATATTTATACAATATATAAGAGAAAAGGCTTCTTGCTATATGATATAAGGAAATACATTTTACAAATTAAACTAAAGCAGTATATAAAACTTATATGTTAGAAACACCACAAATTTAATTCAAATTACTTTTTGTAGATGTAAACAGCAAAATTGTAAGAAATTAAGTACTTGCCTAGTTTTCATATTACATATAATGTAACTTTATATTTTAAAATGTTAACTAAAATCTCTGTTCCCAAGACTGAAAACAGTGATAAAATTGCCGAAATTTCATTGTGGATAATTGTAACGTAACTAATGCATGTAACGTAATGCGATTAATAAAAATTTCTGATATATACCTTCTGTTTTAAGTTCAAAATAAAGCATTGTTTAATCCTGTTACATTGTTAAGATAACAATGCGACAATTCCTAAGAACTGCTTAGTGACTTAAAAATAGAAAAAATATATATATATACAAAGTACTTGGTTATGTGGAGCTCAACTATATGCTTTTAATTTAACATTTTCATATCAGAAACACAAATTGGAACTTTTTTTTTTTTTTTAAATTCTTAAGCGTGATATTTTTTAAAATTCTTAAGCGTGATATTTTTATTCAGTTTTAGAAATGTTTGCTTAATTTATGAAGTTTTAAAGAAATTTTATACGTATAATTTATGTAACAGAAATGACTCAATATCAAAAGGGCTATATAATAACACTAAAATGTAAATTACGTTCTTCTGTTAGAAATTCATGATTAACTTAGTGTGATTTTTATTCGAAAACCCGCATTTATCTTTTTGTTTAAGATTAAAACTTTCCCCTCGAGTATTTAAGCGAAACATTTCGTAAAATTCTTGACACGAAAGAAATCATTTATACTTAATTAAGTGTACATATCATTTTATTAACTAGACGATTAAAAAGAACTGGACTCCTTAACCGATATTAATATGATATACATATATTATTTCATTTCGGAAATAAAGTAATTAAATTCGTAAATTGAATTAAAAATGATTTATTTCATCGTTCAACTAGCATGATACTGCGAAATTAAAAGAATAACTTAGTTTAAGCATTTTGGGTAAATAGATTTGATTAAGTAATTTAACGATAGCGGCAACGCAAGTCTCATAAGATTAAATAGTTCTTTTGTCTTCTTCGAATAATCTTATTTATATATTCAGGTAATTTAATTTCCAGAATTTTTTTTCATGTTTCACTTATATATGCATTTTTTCCCTTTAAGTTTTAATTGTATAATTATTTTAAATGTGAGACTTAATATTTAGCTTTACGATATTAAAATGGATCAATACTGCTTCATTAAGGAACAACTAAATATTTTGTACCTCATAAAAGAAATTTTATGTTAAATTTGCATTATAATTCCGAATTAAAAAAAATGTTTCATAACAATGAGACAGATTTTATTTCTAGTGCTTTATAAATAATAATTTATTTAAACTAATTTGAGGGTAAAAATTAATATTTCAGACTGTAGTCATTATTATATAGTTTTGGATAAGTTATTTGAAAAGATGTTTTGCCCAGAAAAAGATGAATTAGTTCTATTATGTACTGGTTATCGTGCGGTAGTTATTCTGGAACGCCTGTAAGTGCGTTAAGAAATAAGTAAAGGTTTTGGCTCATGAGCTCCATTCAGCTTAATGCCCTCATCTATTGCACAGTAGATCTTTATTTAAACTGCACAAATTAACTTTTAATCTAAAACGTTTCTAATATGAAAAAGTGATGAATGGAAGTCAAGGAAGTCTGATAACGTATGAGAAATGACTGGGTGTTTTATTTAAAACGGTAGATTAAAATACCTGGTTATATTCTTGTTTTTATTTGCAATTCACTTTTTCATTTATAAGTTAATAATTTAAGAGAGTTTATTTCAATTTCTGGTCGTTAAATTGCGTAACTACTTTAGCGAAAATGGGCGTATAATATGTTATAGTTGAAAGCTACTGTGTTGATTAATTGAAGCATAATTTTTCTATCAAAGTTGTTTAATTAAGGACTCAATTCAATTTACAGAAGACTTAACTCATTTCAGAAGTCGTTACTTGAATATTCTCAATATTAGTCTTTAAATTATATTTCAGATTTCTGGAAAAAATTAAAAGCATTCTTCCATTTTATTAAGAATCTAAGCAGGACAGATTATACTGCTTTTAATGTTTTTGAAAAACATGTAAAAACTTAGGAAGCTCGAAGATTATGTCTGATATAAGGACTATTTCTTTACAGTGATTTTATAGTAGAAAATTGGACATTACAATATCAGAAAGAAAGTGATCAATGCATATATGAGAAAAAATACTTGGAGCACAACAGAATGTATATTTGAAAAAGAAATCATTGATATTCGCATGTTTTAAATGATACATGCTGACAACATAATTTCTTGCCCATAAGTATTCGTATATTAATCCGACTGCAGCTTATAAATTCGTATTAATCCGACTGCAGCTTATAAATTCGTATTAATTAGCTTAGAGATTCGAAGGTTTACATATATAAAATCAAAAGTGAAAAGTGTCGCATGTTTCTAAACCTGTGATCAGGAATTCTCAGTAAATTTAAATTACTGAAAAGGAAAAAAATACTTAAGGTACATCTGAAATTTTTATGACATATAAATATAAATGAATGCATTTATGCGTTCTATTGATATATTTTTCATCTGCATTCAAATACGAATCTTGCTAAAAACGGTTATCTTCATTCAGAATGCCAGTTTGAAATTATGATTATTAATCATTATGCTATGAAAGAAAGAGAAAGCCTGCGACTGCAAAATAATTTTGATCAATGTAGACATTCACACTTATCAGCATTAAACTTAAAAAATTTAAACTATGCAAAAACAACATAAATAACTTTTTCCCAGTCACAATTATTTCATGCCGATGATTTAACCATAAAACAGCTTTTATTTTAAATTCTCATGGCCGATAAATCTTAAATTAAACCATATAGTAATCCAAATTACTTGATGAAATGTACAATTAAGTGGAATTTCATTTGAATAGCAAGCATGTCTGATGAATTCCTAGCACCATTCCTCATTCTGGTATTTAATATTTGTAAAAAAGCACTCTGGTCCTTTTAATCCATTAGTACATTTTTAAAGCTTTCTTTCAGTACTGCCTGCTGCAGTGCGGCCATTTCCTGAGAAACGCCCACTCAGGGTACAGTCTAAGGCAACTCCTTCGGTCGATATCACAAATCATTTGGTACATTTGCAACAAGAACTGCGAGTTTCAGTTGGAGTTTGCAAGCTGACGACGTAGCTTTGTTAGACACTGTAGTTAAAGTAATTAAAGCAACACATTTGTAAAATTTTCTTTTCCTCGTTGGGTTGCAAATCACACTTTCGTCTCAGAATAAACTCGATCCATGTTCTCTAGGTGAGCTTTGTTGACGTTAGATTGAGAAAAATAAAGTCCATCTTCTTCATGAGGTGGTTCCGAAATCCAGAACCTATCTGCAGAATGCTACCTCACCGGTGATTTATTGGTGGGTTTACGCTTGTAGTCATTTCGGTACATATCTGGTGGAGGAATCACTGTCTTGTCTGACGATTTAGTGAGTTTATGTCTGATTAAAAGGCCAAGAGCTGTCATAACCAAAAGTGCCACAGCTGTCGCCGTACACAGGACAAGAGTAGTCAATGGGAACTGAGTGCAACGCTCAGGGTCTTCGTCGTTTGCTGTCACTGGACAGTGATGAATTCCATCGCAGGCTAAGTCCTCTCCAATGCACGCTTCCAGTTCTGGGCATTCTAATTTGCAGGGATTTGGGCCAGGTCGAGTCACTTCGATCCATTTCATCTCTAGTTGTCCTGGTTCTCCCATTAGGAACTCCATTAACGTGAGATCAGGATGGAAAGGATGGCGGTTTTCCGGATGCCATGATTCAGTAAAAAAGGATTCATAAATTTCATCATTCGAGGAACAAAAGACTGGAAAAAAAAAAGAAAAAAAATTGCATCTTTCCGTTAAATTTCTAAAGATGATTACTTTTATATATTGTATACTTTCGTTTCTATATCTGCGTCTTTCCCACAGTGATAAGGATTTGATTACTTTTAATTTCAAAATGTTACTGATTTAAATAAGGAACATGAAAATCTTTATGATATTACGGCAGGCTTAATCTGAAGATAGGTTTATAAAATGTCGAAAGACAATTAGTTATTGTGCAATAATATAAGCGTTAATAAGTTTAAACTAAGAAGAATCGCCCAAAATCGTTTAGTAAATATTGAAAATAATTGTCTATGCTGCCATTTGTAGATTTAACATAAGTATTTAATATGTCCATTGATTATGGAAAAGGTAATATGTGTTGTCATTGCCGCCCTAAATACTGTTAACTTTTATCAGATAATTAAAATTGTTAGACACTAGCAGTCACATTTTAAAATTAATGTTGCTAAAGTATTATTTTTATTACAGTTCCTGTAACCAAGACAAATTAAATCCTCTGATTTAAATTCTTAAGATTTTAAATTCTTAGGTTTATATATTAGTATTACAGCAATTCTTCGAAACTATGACGCATAATTTTCCGATATAAACATCGTTGAAAATGAGTTGAATCTTATAATACAAGCATCTAAGAATGAAATTATTCTTAAATAATAAAATTTACAAATTCCCGTTTTTTACTCGAAATTAAGGCTTCCCTTGAAATTTTAGATATTTTAAGATACTATTTAAGAAATAACAATGTAGAAAATTATGAATTTTGCTTAACAACAGTTCTGAGAAGGAGAATCCTATCTTCTTTTCACTTTCTTAAGAATTTACTTGAGTCTTAACATAGATGAATTACAGTATACAGGAATATTTAAATGATTGACCGAAATTCAAATAAGCATAATTTATACCTATTGTTAATACGTTAATGTAATTTACATGAAATGAAAGAGTACATCACCTGGTTTAGGAAATGTATTTTAGAATGCATTGTTCCTTAGAAATTACTTCTATTAAAATATTCCTTTCTATTGAGTCAGCAGTCTCATGTCATCAATAGTAGAAGAAAACTCCATTGCTTTTTATTAAGAAACTTTATTAAGAAATTCTGTTAGTTTAAAGTACGTCCTCAAACATAAAATAGTTTAAACAGAAGAGGTAAAATGTTTTTGTAAGTAAACACATACTGATTTTAATCATAAATATCCTTAAAAAAATTGAAATAAAGATTAAAAGAAATGTAAAATTTTTAATTAGTATGTTACAAGTAAATTTTGCTGGCAAGCAAAATCAGATGTGTATTATATGTTAAAATCTGAACAAAACTTGATGCATAAAGACTTTAGCAAAATTTCACATTTTAGAGAGAGCCATAGTAAGCAGAGCTTTTAAGCTTGGTAGTATAACCAAGACGCTTAGAGAATATTTCTTCAAAAATTGTAGTGTACCTAATGGTTGACATTACTCCAACCAAATGAAACCATTTGATACTTTATTGTCCGTACTCATTGATTCAGAACTTTTATAATTAATGCTAGTTCACGTTGAGCACTACTGCTAGGTCACGTTGAACTCAAAATGATGTTGAACAATTTCTGCAATGTATTGAAAAGAGTATATTGCACTGTCGAAATTTTTAACTAATTTCTTTCATTATGAAATTTAAAATATTAAGACCTCATTTATTTTACTATAAAATTTAGAAGCTCTCTTCTAGAAGTTTCCCTTATAAATAATTTGAGATAAATTAAAATCATTCTAAAAAGTCCTTTAAAAGAGTTTTAAGATGAAAAGATGAAAAGTGTTTTTATTCAATAAGTTTCTTATTGATCTTATTAGTGAGATTTATGTTAAGTAAACTTGCATCCGAATTCATAAGAGAGAAATAAACCAAAAATGTAAAATTAGTTACTTAATAAATGTAAAATACAGACCTGCATAAGGCTCCTTGTTATAAACACTGTAAAACAGAATTTTGTTCTTGCATTCCTTATCAAATTTTCGGCCTTTGATTGTGATGTATAATGCTCTAGAAGGGAATGCTGCTAGCAGCCATCTGCATTGTAAGGGAAGGTTTCCATGTAAGCTGAACCCTAGTTGTCCACGAGAGCCACTCATGACGTGGGAACCACTAGAATGCGCATTCTCACATACACTTGAAGCAGGCACGAATTCATAGCTCAGCGTAAATCTAAAAGTCCTAAAATCATCTTTGGGTCCCATGTTTCTAACAAGGAATTCAACATCTGCTTGGTGCCCTACAGTCTCCAGAATGAAGCTAGCACTAGAATCACATGCGCAGCCAACGAAAATTTTCATATCTTGCCATATTTCTGTAACATTGATCGCTGCGAATTTTGAAAGTTGGAAAATTTTACATTCGTGACGCTGAGTTACTGCATCAAACACTGTGTTACAAAGAACAGTGGAAGGGAAATAAATCTCATTCACTATGATTCGTACTCTTTGCTGTTTGGTACCTCGAAGTTCATATCTGCATAACAAATGTTTAGAGCCCCCTCTACCATATAAGAATATGTTTCTTGGTGATTCGAGTGTACCTGAAGGGTGTTCCCTGCTATTGATAACGGAAAAACAAAGCTCGGAAGAAACATCTTGCATGAAAGATGAAGTTTCTACAACTTCATATCGTGCTGTAAAATGGGGAGCACCATTGTTTTTAATAGTTGTAGACGACAAGAACGACATCTTGAGCACAATTTCAGGTCCTGGACTCAAGTAGCTCTCTTCAGGCACTGAACAAGGCCTAGATGGAACTAAATCAGGAAAATCTGATGCATGACCGCATTGTCTAGGGGATCGCTTTTCGCAGTAAGTTTCTACTAGAAGTGAAGAAGCGCTGTTTTGTTGCTCTGACAAAGATGCAGCTGTAGTACGATGATAGTGATAGTAATTGTGTTGATGATGATGATGTCGGATTTTTGGCATAGAGTGTTGGATTTCTAATTTTCCAACGTCACAATGTTCATCATCCGACCATGGATGGAGATCAGGCACGTGATAAGAAGCAAAGTACAGCCAAACTCTATCTGTCGGTTTCCGCCCTATTACTCGATAAGTGCAAATCGTACCTGATGGGACGGAATGGTCCGGCAGGCTGAGTATCCCTACCGGATGTCTGCCTCCATCGACCGTTACAGAGCAACCTTCGGAAGCAACTCGAAGGCCTTTGTTTCGGGCGAAATGAATTCGGACGGCGAGCTCAAAATGAGAATTGGCAAGCGGCTGGGAAGGAACACTGACCAGCTGGATCATCATATTCGGTCCACTGGATCGGATCACTGGTAGTGGTCCAGCTCCACAAAATTCTGCCAAGAGAGGAGCTTCTGAAGTTCTACCATCGAAGATTTTGATGACGTCTCCAGCGCACTCCGATGTAAGAGTGCCGGGCTTATAGCGGTCATTATTGGTGTGGCCTCGGGGTACATTGATCTTGAATTCGTTCTCTTGATGTACTTCAATTTGTGCTACTTTGCCGGGGGGTGCTGAGTCTTGACGTACCCAGTATCTACAGGATATGTTGCGTAAATAGAAACCTAAGGAAAGAGAATAAGAAGGTAATTGGACTTTATAAATGTCAATAGAAAAATTGCAGTTTATAAAGTAGTCCTTGATAGACAATTTGGAGTTAATAAAATAAGCCATATAAGCAAATGGTACTATATGGTTTTAAAGGGAAAATTTAAAGTATCAGTGATATTGAATTTTATAGAGGTTATTCAAAACGTTATTAATATTTTAAAATCAAAAATTGAAATTTTTGCACTGAAAAAGTAGGATATACATCAGATAAAATGTCTACCTTAAAAAAATGGCAAAATTAAGGAATCAACTATTTTTAATCTGAACATTCCAAGTACATTAATTTTATGTCATTAAATACCGTATTTTATTCATTTAACTTGCACAGTACCTTTTAGTACAGGGTCCTGAACATTTTTCTGAAGTACTAATAGATTTGCTCGTGTATTCTGGATGCATGGGCTTTGATTTATTAAGGAAATGTAATGAGATGCTTCAAGAAACGGGTTGTCCTTGATGATTTTAAAGATCCTAGCATGCGGGAAGACGGACTGAACTATTATGAAGACTATGAAAACGGTGATGATTCTTACGTACTGCAAGCTCCAACAGGGAACACAGATAGCAGTTCCTCGAATTAAATAATTTCAGATCTAGGGAACAGGAGCAGGCAAAACAGTAGGAAGGGACGAGATTCAAGATACAGGAAATAGAAATGAAAGTATCTTAATAGTTACTGGTCGTATTAATATTACTATGCATTCTTATTAAAAGTAGGTATTTTTTAATAAATAATATTGTGATAGTTACCAGCAGTTTATCCGCGATTTCTTTTCATTTGCTTTATGTTCTTACTGTAAACATGTCCTTCGGAAAGTTATTTGCCTAATTTTTCATCCCGATTTTTGTACTAAAAGTTTGTTAAATAAAGGGTAAAATACCCGAGTAAATACTATATATTGCCAGCAATATTTTAAATAATTATCAAAGCATGCACAATGGCATAGGTTATTGATAATAATTCTTTCATGCCATGATTAAACGTTTTCACAGATCTACTTAAAATAAAGAAATGCTAAAAACAGGAGTATAAAATAATTAAATTCAAATTACATATATTTTAACATTAAAGTTCCGCTTTCATGCAATATTTACAATATTTTTTAAATAATCATATACCACACTGTAACTTTTAGGAAATATTCATTATTTTCTTCACTAAGATTTTTCAGCCAATAAAAGTACAAGAAATAATGTCCCAATGAACAACTTAAAATAGATAATTTTAATCAACATACTGAAATAGATATAATTATCGATTAAAATGCCAATCCTGGAGATAGAAATATTATGTTAGCCAGAAATCACATAACTCTCACTATTAAAAATTTTATGAAAAAAATTGACTTCGAAAAGTAATATATCATATTGTTCATAACTCATTTCTAAAGATTTAGTCCTAAATACCAATGATTGAAAAATTATTTTTAGTTCACTCGTAAACATGAGAACATACCTGGGAAATTCGGCGACCTTATGATGCAGTGTCGAAAATGACAATTCGTGAGCACCGAACCACACTTCGAAGCAGCGACTACTCCTCTACTGATATGGGAAGACTGTTCAATACTATCCTTTCGCAAAAATCGGTACGTGAGATACAGGCGAGGTACCACAGGTTGTCCAGCTGCACCTTGTGGAGGTACGAATACTGTCAATTTAACACTGTCGCCCATGCTGTAGAATGTCGCAGATTCTCCTATGAGAGGCCCACAGAAAGAACCCGATGGCGCTCGTAGAGGTGGACCCTTCACCCTCGGTGAGCTTTTCTTTTTTGGTCGACTACGAGATCTTCTCTTTTTTGCAACCGGGTTATTTTCCTCCACTTCCATATAGCCACGCAGGCAAGTGGATCTAAAAGGACAGAAGAGAAGGGTTGTTTCAAGTTAACTCTTACAAATGATTCGGATAATGAAAATACTAAAACTCAGTGATAATATACTTGCGTAAATACTGAAATCTCAAATTCAAAACTAAGCAAAATTAATTTTCAGTGTTGGATTTATAGAAAAAATGTGAATTTTGGAAAAGATAGTTTTCTTCAAAGAGCAAATATGGTTTGCAGAAAGGAGTTAGAAATATGTTTCCTTTTTTTAAATAGGCAAGATAAATGAAAGAAATTGTAAAAAAGAAATCAACAGTTGTATGATAGATATAGCACAGGTATAGCCTTCCAAGTATAGATCATAGAGCAACAAATTTTGAATTAAGTTGAAAATTAAATTCGTATTAAACCATTTAATTGATAAAAATTATATTATTTATATCTAGTAAAATTTAATCATTTATTTCTAATACAATTTACTTTCTTCTTTTTCTATTATTTATTTCTAATTTTTTATTTTCTATTTCTATTTCAATCATTTAAGAGATAAAATTTTCATTAACAAATTACAATTCTATCCAGTTTGAAAACAACTTTCTATCTAGTTTGAAAACACTGGATAGAAGTATAATTGTTAACGAAAACTGATAGATTTTGGTGAATGTGGAAGGCTATAAGAAAATCTAATTCTCCAAATAAAGAAAGACTTGTAGGGAATTAAAAGTATGCAAATGATAAAGGAACTAACAATGATTAGCTGTAGAAAGTTTGTTTTCCTCCTCTGATATATTCATGCTCCTTAATGTGAAATTTGAATGCTAACTTACTTGACCAATATTTGCTAAACAGCACTGACAAAGAATGATTTAACTTCCGCAAGAATTAAAATGTAAAACAGAAAATTTGAGAAAAGCCGACATAAATTTAAACTTTAAATTTCCGCGAAAATATTTAAGAGCTATATTTCATAATGTGTTTTCGTTTGACGTCTGTTTTGCTCGATAGATGCAAAATGATTAGTGTTTTTTTATATGATAATTTCATTTCGTTTAGCCAGGTTAAATGAAACATGGGACAGTATAATATTTTTTGCCATGGAAGAAAAACAATCCCTTGGCTATCTTCCTAGGAATGCATAGAATGTTTTGTAAAATTAGAATCAATATTAAGTTGATTTGTGCTTAGCTTTGAACTATGTTTCACATCTAAAATCACGAATCATGAGTAAAGTTTGACTGCATTAAAAACCATTAGGAACGATGTTGCCATAAACCCAATTCAGTTTGAGCCATTTTAACAATTTAATGCTTGCTGATTTATACAAAATTGAAAGATCTATAATTCTGTGGAAGCACTAAACAATTGTGTACAAAATATGAGGACACAAATTTAACTAAATTAAAATAAACTCTAACATTATCTCCTTAAAAGCAAGAAAATAAACAGCTAACTAAATAAACAACACACAGTTTTATAATAATACTTAAAAATCAGAGTAATCAAATGAATTTAAATACTTGGAAAATTTACAACTATATTCTATGCCATATAAGTGTAATAAAAATAAGAAATAAACAGATAACTAAAGAAATAATACACAATTTTACAATAATACATAAAAAACAAGGCAATCAAATGAATTTAAATACTTGGAAAATTTACAAATATATTCTATGCCATATTAGTGTAATAAAATATAATTTGATGAAAATTGACTAAAATACGCGTTGTGGCTAACACAAAAAGATTGCTGCGAGAATAATAATAATATTAGCTGAATAGAATGGCATTTCTATTAGTTAAATATAAACATACAATGTTAGAAAGTCGAATAATATAGTCAAATTGTGTAGCGTAAAATTAGTTTATGTAGTTCAAAATTACTCTTATATTAATTCAATTTATCATTAATGATAAATGATGCAAGTGCATGTTACGCTTTGGCATACAAAGGATAACTTTGCAATGGTAGAACAAGCTTTCTAAAGCCAAATCGTTCGCAATCAGTTTTAATAACACAATTAGCTTAAATTTGTCTAATACCGCTTGCAGTTAATAAGTAAGCATGTAACAGGAATAATCGGTGCGAATGTGAGATCAGCTTATATTAAGAACAATAAATAAAGATTTTCCTTCTAGCGAAAGAATTGCAAGGTAAATTGAAACTAAAATTCTCTGTAAGAGAAATTTGCACTTGTGCCAGCAGGCTATTTGTTTAAATCTGATGCTCCTTTATTCATCATCCTTTTCGAAATAATAGAAAATTAATGTAATAACATGGATAATAGCTGTATGGAATTCTAACTAATTGCCACATCAAGAGAACGCTTCCGGTTGTTTGTAGGTGATGCCATTATCACATATCCTAACGAGTTATGACCTGGAGGAGAAGCAGCGACGAGGTAAATTAGAAACTGCATGATTTCAATATGACAGCTGATCGATTGATAGCTCATTTTTCAAGACTCCTGCTCCCCCCCAAAAAACTAATGTCTTTACAGTGGCGCCCGAACTAAAAAAGGTGGTGGATGATGATTCTCCACCACCAGGATTTGACGATTGGGTCCCCTGGTTCCCAGTCGTCCTTAAAAAATAAGGCGGAATATATGTATTTCTCCCGCCTTCTTAATATTCCTTCGTTAGGGAGGGTGTAGAGGTCAGCACGCCCGAAAACATTCGCTACATAATTTATACTTTAGATGCAAATTGATGAAAATATCCAAATGATTTGCTCCAGATATCTTCACCTGTAAATATTGTTACTGCTAAGACTTGTACAACCTCCAAAACTTTTATTTAAGTTTTTTGCTTTTCTAGCATTTTTAGTCACAAATTTTATACAAACTCTTAATCTATAAAATATTAATTCAGCTCCTCAAAACATTGGAAAATATCGTATATCGTAACATTGGAAAGTATTTATTTTAATTATTCTTTGTTTTGAAGCTGTTGATGGCAACAAATTGCAAAGAAATTTAAAATGGAATCTTAAATTTTAAAGCTTTTATCTTGGAACACAGGAAAGATGTTATTTTTATATATTTAAAATTCTGGATTTTGAGAGTTTTATAATACATCCATAAGATGTTATAAGCTTTAATTTTATGATTTGCAGTCTGTGAACTGTTTTGATGTTTCTTTTAAGGTATTATGAGTTGAATGAGTTTTTAAGGCACGCGTTGCCAACTTTAGTTATTGTCTGTTGTTACTGTAGTTATTATACCTAACGTTGGTACTGATATCATCCTCTTGGTTAATATGATTAAGAGAAGAGAAGAGAAAAAATGTATGTAGCATGTAAGTGTAGCTGCACCTTGCTGTATCCCCCCCCCTCCCAAAAAAAAATACGTGCTTTCTTGTTTCGTGAAAAGAAAAAGTCAAAAAAAAGAACTGCTGTAATACATTTTAGTTTTAATGTTTTTCCTTCTAAACTAGTGGAAAAATTATCGTAACCTTGTAACCAATTGAGATTACAAAAAATATTACAAACATTAAAAAAAAGAGATTATCATTAAAAATATACATATATGTATATATAAGGAAAAAAATGAAAATCAATTGAGATTTCGATTTTGAACCGCGACAGACGTACTCAACCAATCAATGTTTATGTTTACAAGCAATATTTTCGAAAATGGGGGTAATAAAAACAATATCAGAGAGATCATTCAACAGTCCAAACATTTTAGTTCTGTCTGAAGAGTTAACATCAATCATAATTAAAACATCAAAAACATTATTCGAGAGAGATAGATCGCTGGGAAATGAAAACAGGGGCTGATTAAACGTTGTACAATACAGAAAATTGGTTGATCATTTTAATTTAAAGCGTTGTCAGATTGACATAAAGAATCGGGGTTTTATTATATATTATATAACGTGAATATGAAATTAAAAAATGGGTCCGTGACACTTAGCCGGCAACCACTTAGCCGACGGGACACTTAACCGACACCAGTTAGCCGACAGGACATTTAGCCGACACGGACACTTAGCCGACACGGACACTTAGCCGACACGGACAGTTAGCCGACAGGTCATTTAGCCGACAAGACATTACCGACAACATTTAGCCGACACGGACAGTTAGCCGACAGGACATTTAGCCGACACGGACAGTTAGCCGACAGGACATTTAGCCGACACGGACAGTTAGCAGACAAGACATTTGGCCGACACAGAAAGTTAGCCGTCAAGACATTTAATCAACGGGTTACTAAGCCGACAGTGACGTTTAACAGACACGTACCCAAAAATTATTTAAACTATCAATTACAAAATTTCTCGACTACACCATAAGTTCAATATTTAAGTCATTTTTTTCACTTATCAGTAAAATTCATTTTTCGATTCTTAAAGATCTCATATGTGCTATTAATTATTGTGTTAATTTAGCATTGTTTGATATGTATCGTGCTGTTTGGTGTACATTGGCCAAATTGAAAAAGAGTTGAAATTTCATGAAAATGAATAAAACAAAACCTTAAAGAATATTTTACTTCTAAATTAAACATTATGCACTAGTTCAGGACTATAAACATTAACTTAAGTAAGTATTTTAAACGAGAGGCGTGGTCAATAAAATGTTACAGAATTTTTATCTCAAGAATAGTGGCATGAACTGTAAATTATAGAGGTCACAAATAATTTATACCTTTGCTTGTCTTAAAAATTCAGTTTTTTAAATTGTTTTTAATAACAAAATAAAATATATTTGCTAAACTAAACCTCAACACCATATGTTTAAATAAAAAGTATAATTCAAGAATAACAATAATTTTTATTGCATTAGTCAGATTTCTCATGACAGGGAAAGGAAATTTCCTTAGTGTGAAGAGCCAAACGATTTTGTAAGGGAAAGAATGTAACATGGTGTGATGTGTAAAATAGTAATGAAACGTAAAGGTATTAAAAATTTGAAAGCATTTGGAAGAGCGAGATTCGAAAATTAATATCATTAAGTAAACAAGAAAAATTATTAATGAAGTGAAAGTGTTCAAAAGAACCCAGTTGATTAAATGAAGAAGCT